GCAGGACCAGCAAGAAGTATTTTATGTGCCCAAATTTCAGTTTGAAGTAGAAAACTGCTTTTTCCTCTGACTTTTTTTTTTTTTTTTCCTTTTCTATTTTCTTTTGTCAAAGAGTAAAACACACACTCCTGAAGATGACCTGCTTCTAATCATGTCCTTTCTGGTACCCCAGGGCTGCTTTTAGTTGCTGGGTTTGTGTAATCCTTGGATTACCTTCCCACTAATCCACCCCGTTGTTAAGAATCAGCAGTTTTACATCTATATTGATCTTGCAGGCTGGCTTGACTTCAATAGTAGCTCTGCACTTGCATCAAAAAGCAGACTTCACCTCTTTTGGAGGCTTACTATTCCAATACAATAGCCAAAAGAAAAGCTACTTAAGTAGATTGTGTAATGAAATGGGTTTGTTTTTTTTTTTTTCTTGTCTTGTTTTTTGTTTTGTTTTTCCCATAGGGCAAAGTAAATTACAACTTTCTGTAGCTGTTCAGAACAGGTTCAGTATAATATCAGTCACTTCTGTGCATTCAAGGCAGTATCATGGAAAGTAGCATCAAGCAATTCCATTAATGTTTCATTTATTTCACTGTTTTCTCTCAAGTAAGCCAAGCAAGGAATCCTGCAAGTCTTACTGAGAAGAATAAAGAAAGTGGCTTCAAAAAATTTTGGAAATTTTGGCTAGAATATGGGTCCAGCATGAAACTTGCTCAGTCTTACTAAGTCAAGGCGCTGAAGATGGAATTTCACAAAAGGTAGATTATGTTCTGGAAACTCATTGTTTTTCTTTTAATTCAATTTTAACATTTTTATTTAAGCTAAATGACAAAAAAAAAAAAAAAAACCCAAGTAATTAATGCAGTCAATCCCCACTTTAGAACAAAGCTCAGATTGAAACTGAATAAATGCCTAATTTTCATATACAATCTTATGATCTGTAAGTATAAAAGGTTTAGCATAGGTTTTCCCCATGCTTCATTTAGTATTTGTTCCTATATCCACCTCATAGTATTCTAGGAATTTCTGTCATTTACTGAATTAATTTCCTACTACAGAAATGTCAGACCGCAACAGACAGGTAACTGAAGGGAAACCATCATATTTCATAGAAACAAAGAGAAGTTAATCTCAGATTTTGTTTGATAACATTGCCAGGGTTAACGAAGGGATAGAACTTAATGCTGGAGCGTTGTGTCTTTTTTGTATTTTATTCTTCTTTGGGAGTAAGTTTATTTCAATGAGCAGACAGCTTGATTTAATACTGATAGTTTAGGGACTTACGATATTAGAATCAGGCTCATGATATTTGAAAAAAATACTATTTAGAACAACAATAAATGTTAGACATAGCAGAAATGGAGGAAAGGAGAAACAAATACAGTTTTCAGTTATTCTAATGTGATATTTATAGTATTTATACTTCATACATTTATACTTTATACAGGTAAGTATTTATACTTAAAGACACAATCTATACTGTACTTTCCAATGGTGTGCCTGTTTAACCTTAGTTCCTATGCCTTAATTTCTATTATTTTCATTTTTTTTTTTCTTTTTCAGAAGAAAGCCACTCTGTTGACACCAATTAAATGTTTTCAGATTTACACCAATAAAACTGGGATCACAGTCTGGCATTAACTCTAAATCATCTGGTTCTAAATTGGATCATTACAGCTTTCTAATTAGTGTAGTAAAACCAGGACTTTCTTATAGAGTTTTGATTGGAAAAATTAGCCCTTTTAGTTGTGTTTTGTGAGTCCTAAACTTGAAAGGAAACACAAGCTCTCAACACACGCAATCAATCAGTGATCCCCTTCCAGTTCCTGCTGAGCTTCTACTTACAGTAAGTGGAAACCTGTTACAGAAACCCCAGTCACTAACAGGTGAGTAGGATCAAGCTATTTGGCCCAGTGCAAATTAAAATCCCAATCAGCAAACAGAAAAAATCTCTCCACACAAGAACAACAAACTACTTAACAAAGCACAGCTCCAGTGGCTTTCTAGTAAATTCCAGTCATTCTCTACCATAACTGTATCTGTCCTTATAAGACTGGAAGAATTACGTTTAATTTTTTTTTTTTTTTTTTTTTTTTTTTTTTGTCATTCAGCACCATTTTAGAAGAAGGAAGTATGCTCCTTTGTTGAAATTTTCCAGAAAAAAATCCTTGGTGTGCTTTGTGAGAATCTGCCATTCTAACAAAAGCTTAAACCCTTTGTTCTCTAATTTATTGGTATAATTATTTTTCCCTGAGCTGTTTATTTTCCAAAATAGCTTTTATTCCTTTTTTAATAGTTTGAGGGTTTTTGGTTTTTTTTAAGTCTTAATCCTCCTGGATTAGTTGACTAATTTTGATCAGATGCAGGAATTAGTAGCAGCAGTTAAAACTTTTTTTTTTTTTCCTTTTTGGATGAATTTCTGTGATAAAGTTGGGTCTGGAGTTTTTTTGGAGGGAAGAACTTTAATATTTACCTTTTTTTTTAACTTCAACTGCATTTTTATTTAGAATATAAGTAAGAATATAAGCAAGAGTAATAAAATTTACCTGTCTATTAACAAAGTTATAAAATAAAGGCTATTGAATACACAACTGTTGTAACTAATGCTGAACTTTATACATAATTCCCAGAGAAAATCTCTTTCATATCTAGGATGTACTAACCTAGGATGGACTAAAGAGACCCAGTGAGTAATACAGACTATGAAGTGTTTACGCAGATTTCACACTGCATAAAATGTGACAGACATTAAATGGAAAATATATCCTCTAAACATGTACTCTGGCACCATTTTATTTGCCTTTAAAAAGTGAAGCATTCCTGATTTCTGAAAGCCATGGAACAATATTCTTCACTATTCTTCATGTGGCACATCTCCACCAAACTCCTGGGTAAGTGATCCTGAGCTTTCACCTGCTCATAAATAGACCCAAAGTGTTTTCCCAGTTTCAGGAATACTTTGGAATGCTACACTAATCCTATATAGCTCAGATGTAACATAATGGACCATAGCTTTATGTAATTGAGCATAATTTTAAAGAACATGAATGGTCTAATCCTGATTTTCCTTTACTTTGATACAACTCTGCTAAAATCAGTGCTTTCATGCTTGGGAAGAAGTCCAAAGAAGTAAAAGACAGGCAAATTTTGCCCTGAATTTCCTTGAAGATTAGCATTTTATGTCTCTGCAAGGATCAAAATCAGGCTGCTAGGAACAGTATAAACCAGTAAACAAGGCAAAGCCTTTACCTGCTGAAGTCAGTGGATTTTTTGTCATTCATCTCACTAAGAAAATGAGTCAAGCCATTACTTGCTGATGCTCAGTAAAGCCTTTATTGCCTCTCTTCTTGTGCTCTTTTCAGATGTAGTGCACTCAAGAATATGTATGCTTTTAGTCAGGGGAACTAGATTTACAGGCTGTGCAGAATAGGGGAGAAAAGATGTACAGTTTTTAAAACTCTCACTTTTCACATATTTATGTGAAGGCTAGAGGCCTTGCCAACCAGTGAACTGCGCTTCATAATTGCCATTTTGATGGTCATGTTTCAGTGCAGAAATTTAAGTGCTTCAAACATCCTGGGACTTTGCAAAAATAGTAAATTAAAGAGGTAGAAGTCTCCAAGTCTGCACTTTTGCGGTCTTTTCCAGGGGACACCAAGTTGGAGGCTAGTCCTGGGCCTGAATGATATCTGGCAGTGTTAGCAGAAATCTAGGAAGGGCCCAAAACAGCAGGCTTAGGCTTTTCAGAAATATGGGTCTTCAAATCCACCTCGGAGCCTGTGTTGCTCAAAGCCATGCTGTAAAATAACCTTTTGTGCAAAGGCCGAATTTTTTTTCACCCCTACATTTAATTTATTTCAACTCCTTGTGTTGCGTCAATATAAAATACTGGTAAATATGTCATTGCTTTTAATGGCAGTTGAAGCACTCCTCCCAGAGCTGCCTATTTGGATATAGTCTGTGCATATGTGGCATATGCTAGGCTAATCTCTTTGGTACTGCTTCTTCCTAAAACACATATTTGAACTAATCGGCTTCTAGATAAGATGTCCTTAAAAGAAAATTTTATTTAAAAAACTACCCAAAGATTTATTAACACAGGAATGTAAATATTATGCTAAATTCCTGAATATTGCTGAACAGTTGAGTTATAATCAGTTTGTATAGGCTGTAAAAATGATCATTTCTAAACTGGGAGACTGATATTAGGGTGTTGCTTTTAAAAAGACACCTTTTATTTATTTTCCCTATATTTGCGTAATTTCAAAATTTGTAATTAAAAAAGTGTCTCCAATTAAGACTCTGGCAAGTAAAAGTAAGCAAATTATTCCATTCCTAGTATCTCTACACATAGCTTCTCACAGATCTCTGTATCTGGCTGGTGTATACAACACCAATGAGAACTAGGATATTTATACAGAAATGTGAAAGTTACTAAGTGAGTACATAAACTGGAAAGAGCTACTGTAAATTGCCTTGATTACAACCAAGTGGGATGATCTTAAAAATGTCTGTGAACTGAAAATACAAGACTCTTACGACACTTGACTTTGTTTTGCATGATTTCTTTGACAGCGTCTTCATCCTCTCTTCTGCCAGTTGGGTGTCTCCAGGCCTTCCTCTTGCGGAGGGCTGCGTGGACTTTCCTGAGCAGACGTTCCCGATCAAAACACATGTACCGTCGTTCCCATGAAGGAGGTTTAAAGTGGTATGTAAAAAATACATATGCATTGCCAGCTGTTGAGTTGAAGTGAAATCATTGTCGTTTTCCATGGGGCTAACAGAGATGATCTTCTCTGTTAAGATTTATAGATGCAGTTAGTGCTGAAGAAAGGAATATCCTTTGGCACTGCTTCCCTTACAAACCCGACCCGAGAAACCAGAAAAGACTGAATATGGTAGACTGAAGATTATGGTACCATCCCTCCCAATCTTCTGAGAACAGAAGAAGCTACACCCTGGATCATCTTCTGGTTGAAATGATTTAAGCTGCAGAAAGGGCTGAAAAGGTAAATACATGTTGTAAGTAAGTGTTACTATGCTCTGTTTACAAATGAAGCAACACAAAGCACTCAATAGAGCTAAACCAAATGTTTTACACAGATGTATTAGTAAACAGGAGTTTGTTGTCTGATGTTAGGTAAACTACATCAAGAAGAGCATTTTGTGGAGTAATCAGTCAGTGTTTGCAGATAACTTTCCAAGAAAAACATCCCCAGGACAGCAGTTCAGAGGCATCAGATCAGCTCTGTGGCCAGTTTCACTCTGTGGCCTGTTTGACCGAAGAGCAAGGCACAAAATTAATGAGAGGATGCTCATCTAGACCTTCCTTTGCAGACATGTAGTGCTGATCTGTTTGCTTTCTTGAGTAATTAGTAGTGACTTTAATTATAATTTCCTAAAAATCTAAGTATCAGTGAGAAAGAGGGATTTATGATCAGTGAGAAAGAGGGTTTTATGATACCAATAGTTTGCCTGGCAACTCTAGAAAAAAACACTGCAGATGACATTCCAGCTCAAGTTAGTCACCCTCATAACTCTGTTCACGTGTTTTTCTTTCTCTGATTTCTGTAGCTGCTCAAGTGTTAGCAAGGCAGAGACCACAGTTTATCCAATGGTAGAGTTCAAGTGTAGGAAGCTCGTTTTTCATTTAAGTAATGACTTGGTTGCTAAATTGAAACTTTCAGCTGCTGCTATTTTTCTTGATTTCAATAGCCATTGTCTTGAATGAAGAGGAGAAAAGCACTATTAGAAGCTGTTTGTTTACATAATTTAAATGATGGGGGTAGCGTCACATGCGTGTGCAATTACTAGCACAGAACTTCCCCATACATTGTTCAGAGCTGAAGGGCAGGACGTGTGTGCAGGCAGGGCTACTGATTTACAGTGAAGAGAGATGGCAAAGATGCTTTATTTTCTGGTAAAAGAGGTGCTTAGGTTTCTCTTGTGATATTATTCTGCATTGTTGTACATAGAGCATCGTCCTACTTATAGAAAGTGCAAAGCTGGATTAATTGGCCATGTGGACTGAGTGGCTGACTCTGTTGTTCCCATGTGTAAAACTTGCATTTCTCTGAACAGGTAGCAGAAACGTAAAGGAGAGATTTCTGGTGGCAGATGGTATTTAATGAGGTCTCAGGATAATCAAGTGTATATATATGGCCTTTCCAAGAGTTTTTTCACAGGGAAGAAATGCGCAATGTGGAATCTTACAGTTAGATTTATGTGTGTTGTTCTGGTTACAGCATTTTTGCTTTAGACTTACGCCTCATTACAACTGCTTTATGAAGAACTTCTTAAGCTCTGCTCTGCAGCTGATCTCAATGAAGGGTGTCCTATTGGCTTTAGTCCTACAAGGGCTTGGATATCTACTCTCTGGAGCCCAATGTAAAATCATGTCTACAGTCATTTCTTTTCCAGGCAGATGTAGTGTACCTTTGTTATGTAGAAAGAGTTTTAATAGCTTTCTCCTTTCTCATTCTCTTCATTCAAAAACAAAGGAATTCATAGTATAGAAGATAATTAGTTCCAGATAGGAGTTTTCCTATTGCTCATGCCATGGTCATATTGATGTTCAATGTAAAATATAGATAAATAACTTCTCTCTCTCTCTGGAGATGCTGCAATTCCTCTTCTTCTCTAATTTACAATTTACAACCCCTATGTCTCTGAAATACTTGCTTCTTGTTAGTTAACAGGTCAACTCACCTAAACTATTGCTTTGAGGACATTTCTCCATTTGTAGGTAACCTGTACCTTGTGCAGAATTAAATCTGAATGGAGTGGTCTGAGCAGATGATTTTTTTTTCTTTCTTGTGTTGTTCAAGGTAACACGAAAAATGTATAATGAAACTGTATGTGTGTTGGAAATGCCAGTCCCAGTATTCAGTTCAGCTCTGTTGCCAGCTGGTAGGTGGATTTTTGCTTCCAGCACAACACTTATGTAATCTGAAAATAAAACATTCCGGCTTTAAGCGTATGAGGAGATTTCTGCCCGGATGCCTTTAACAAAAGAGGCAATAGATTATCACAGTAACAATAATTTATTATAAACACTTCTAAGATGTTGTTGTATTGTCTCATATGGCAGGAGAACAGGTCGAAAGAAGGTAAAGATGATGTGTATACAGTTCCCATATTACTGATGCTTCAGATGAAAAAACATACAGGCACGTAAATGTGAACTGCTCATTGAACTGTAGAATTAAAGACCAGCAAAAAGCATCCTGGATTGGCATGGTGTGACAGGAATCTACATTTTCTGTTTATACCTCTGATTTAGCTGATAAAGTATGGCCAGACAGCCTTCTCCTTTTTTATTTATTTATTTATTTATTTATTTTTTGCATAGTATCAAGCTCTCATAATATTATCTAGTTTCCAGGTCGGGATATGAAAAACTCTATGTAAAACAACTGGTAACTTTTTATCTGTCTTTGGAAAATTCCTGCCAATCACATGAAGGTGTCATGGATGGGATGGATGGTGGGACAGGATAGTGGATGACAGAATTTCACATTATAAATGTTTAAAGGATGGAAATATATTGGAGTAGCTCTAGTCCAGTGCCATGGACTCGCTGCTTATTAGCAGTTGGAGCACATCTTCCGATCTTGTTTAATCCCGAGGGAATCCAGGCTGGTATTCCAAACCCGTGCTGCAAAATGAAACAAAGCAAGTCAGGGTGACCAGGAGATTCACTTTGAGAAGTGCACTCCTTATGCAAAATAAAATATTGGAGTAGTCCAGGGAAGAGAGAAGATTATCATAGTTAAATTATTTAGTTATTTTTTGGCAATCTAAATTATTTAATTGCTGTTAATTTCTGTTTTACTGGTGGTTGAGGTTGACTAAGGCTCAATCACACCAGAAGAACTGGGGATAGCTCCTCTCATCACCTCTATAATCAGTAATTGGCACAGGAGCTTCATAAGAGGCAGTTATGGAAGCACTAGATGCAAACCATATCTAATTCTTCATTATTTCTTGACATAATACACATTCATTTGCCAGCATACACTATAGCTGAGATGTGTAGTAATGGATAAACCGTGCGCAGATTGCCACAGAACAAAACAATGGTGCTGCAGAATCCCTGAAGTCACCAGTTTATGTAGGAAAAGGATGTACCCAGAGTGAGTGGCACTGGCTCAAAATCACCTGTACGTAGAAGGGGAGACCCTTGCCCGTGCCAGCCCCCATTCCCCCTGTGTGCACAAATCCCCAGCAAAGCACCTGTGCTACCCGTGCTACCGTCTTCTGGCGTTCCTGGAAGCCCTGCAAGCAGGGAGAGGGAAGACTGGCATCCATGGACATCAGTTTGCTCAAATTTTAGAACCTTCTTATAAAAGAAAGGCAAACAGAAAATAAGGAATAAGGATTTCTGATGAGAATTATTAGTGTATTTCTAGAACATGAGCTCTGTCTAGGATCTGTCCCTCAAACCTTTTCTCCCAGTGGGGATTTAAGTGGATTGCTAGGAATTTGACAGACCTCAATATCAAGATCAATACTGAATTAGAAGACATAGCTAAGCATAACTGGGGGGAAATAATTAACAAAATTAAGGAGGGTTTTGCTCTGTGGGGAACTATTAAAGTTATCTTTATGGGGTCATGTAAATGTAATAAAGATTCTGTCTGCACCACTATTTAATTCTATATCAGAAATGGTCCCTGTAGATCTACCAAAAGATTATTTTACTAAAATTGAATGTGTATCCTCTTCTGACTAAAGGAAAGGAAAAAAATCTTAGAACTAGTAAGTTTTAAATTTTACACAACACAGATAATGCTGCCTAATCTCAAGCTCCATCAATGGTGAGTTGGTTCAGAGGCTGCAGTTCACTCTAACCTTCATCCTACTTTAAGAGAAATAGAATATGTATTGAGTGTTGCTGTGGCCCAGGATGGTGCCCCTGTTCCTGCCTAGAGAATGGAGGCAAATATTGTTTTGTGTTTTAGAACTACAAAGATAGGAGAATATCCATTAGAAAAATCTCCAATAAATATTTTTGTAAATATTTGGGTGAATTTTATGCTTTAAAACCAGAAGGCAGAGCCAAGTTTGATTCACTTGGAGATGGAGTAGCATTCGGGCTCTGCAGTGGGATGCTCCAACATACCTCTCAGAGAGGCATGCAGCAAACCTGTATGGCTCACTACTGATTGACATTTCCCTAACTGAATACTAGCGTGCATCTCTGAGGCTCCGTTGTCCTTTCTCGCTCTTCTCTCCCATTAACGCTTTTTCAGTTATACTAAAAAGGACTTAATTGGGCTGGAAGCTTTCTTAGAATATCCTTAGCAAGGCCTGTGGGCGAGAGAGAGCGGGACTGTCCTAGGGAGCCAGGTTTGCAGGAGCAGGACGGGCTGCAGGACCAGGAGGAGGCCGGGAGGGCAGCGTGTGGCAGGAGGGGAGGCCGCGCCATGCGCAGGGCCCTTCACTTAATTCTCAGAGCCATTTGCTTTTTTTTTTTTTTTTTTAATTTTTTTTTTTTWTTTTTWTTTCTGCTGTTTTTTGCAGACATTTGTGGTGCTGTCCCACCTGCTCTGTTGTCCTGAGTGACCCAGGACTCGTAAACCCGTCACTGCCGAGGGCAGCTGGAAGAGAAGCCAGAGGGGGGCAGTGGGACAGTGGGATTGGGGCTGCTGGCTCGCGCCGGCCGGACAGGGACTCAGACACATTGCAGCACCCTTCCCTATATCCTGGGAAGAACATGACCACCTGGGCATCCTGTGGCAGCTGGGCACACACCAGAGTCTGTCAAGCCAGGGGTCTGGGACAAGTCACAGTACTTTTGTTCACACCTCCGAACTCGTTCGGACATCGATTGTGTCCCACTTGCTTACTTTCTGATTGCTAGGATTTTTAGCCCATGAGGAGAAAAATGATCCTTAGTATTTCATGTCCTTTTACTTAGTCTCAGGTCAGCTTAAGATACTGTTAGTATTTTTGGCCTGATTTGATAATCTTGATTTGTGGGGTCAGCCCCCTGTGGCACAAAAAG